CAACCCAACGAGCAACCCACAGAGAATGCCGAAACAGCAATCGAGCCTCCACTCGTTTTTTGGCGTGCCCGGAAAGAGCAAGCCCAAGAAACAAAAGACGCTGACGTCCTTTTTCAGGGCCGACAAGGAAAACGACGGCAACGGGRCCGGGGCGGAGGAAGCACCGGCCGGGAGGGCAGCGACCAAACCGAAGAACCCGACGGTGCCCGATGGCAGCGAAAACAAGGAGGAGGGAGTTGCTCCGAAGCGGACCGGCCCTCCCACGGGCCACAAAAAGCGGGCATCTCCGGACGGAACCACCCGCAATGAGAGCAGCAGCCAGAAACAGAGGCGCCGCCTCGTCATCGACGACAGCGACAGCGACAAGGAAAAGGACGAGGACGAGGACGAGGAAAAGGACAACAGCAACAACAGAAACGACAACAGCAACAACAGAAACGACAACAGCGAAAACGACCACGACGAGGAAATGAAGGACGCGGTGGAGAACAACGCAGAGACGAAGATCGCATCGTCGCCAACGTCTCCGTCCTCGGAACCKAACAAAAAAACAAAACMCGAACACAACACGACCGAACCAAGCGACAACAACAAGAAGAAAGAGGAGAAGGAAAACACCGAGGCCACGACAACGAAGAAAACCTCCGCCTCCGCCTCGTCCTTTTTTGCCAAACCCAAACCAAAGCCCAAAGAGAGCGACTCTGCCACAGAACCCACCAAAACAACGACGGGGGCATCCGGGGGCGAGGACACCAAGCATTCCGTCCCGACCAAAGGCGGAAAACCCACCGAAACGAAGGACACGAGTGGGGCGGACAACGATAACGACAACGACAACGACAAAAACAACGACAAGGACATGGACAAGGACGACGCCTCCATGAGCCCCGGGAAGCGAAGGCTCGTCCGCAGGGCGCGAAAACTCGCCAAGGCCTACAAGGTGGACGYGGAGATCACGAAAGGCTTTCCCCGCCCCACTTTGGCGCCGGTGAACTCCAGGGCCAGGCCCGCGGCCAGCACCGGCACCGGCATCGTCCCCTACGGGGACCTCGCTGAGCTCCTGGAGCGCATCGAGGGGGTCTCGGGCCGCCTGGAGATCCAGGCCATGGCCACGGGGTTCTTCCGGCGCATCCTAAAGTTCGGGATTCTTCCGGTGGACCTCTCGGCCGCGGTCTACCTCTCCTGCAACGCCGTCGCCCCGGCCTACGAGTGCGTCGAGCTCGGGATCGGGGACTCCCTCCTGGTCAAGGCCATCTCGGAGGCCTACGGTTCCAAGCCGGCCACCATCAAGGAGGAGCTGCGGGAGATGGGGGACCTGGGCCTGGTGGCCCGCTCCTGCAAGTCCAGGCAGCGRACCCTCGGCTTTGGGGCCCGCCCGAAGCCCCTCACGATGGAGGCYGTCCTGGCCGTCTACCGGGAGATCGCGGCCGTATCGGGGAGCTCCTCGCAGAAGCTCAAGGTCGGCAAGATCAAGAAACTGCTGGTGGCGGCCAGGGACTCGACCGAGACCAAGTTCCTGATCCGGGGCCTGCAGGGAAAGCTGCGGATCGGACTGGCCCAGTCGACGGTSCTGGTGGCATTGGCCCACGCCCTGGCCATGACGATTCCCTCCACGGTGGAGGTGGGGGGGTGCAGCAATGACAAAAACGGCGGCGAAAAAAACGACAACGGAGATGACAACGAGAAAGATAACAATGACAATGACAATGAGAACGGCAACGACGACAAGGACAACGACGGTGCCTACAGCGACGATAACGATAACGATAACGATAATGACGACGACGACGACACCAGCAGCGAAACCGACAAGGATCCCATCGTCGCCGCCATGGAGGACGAGTCGCTTCCCGTCGAAAAGACCCTCGAGGCCTGCGCCAACATGATCAAGAAGGTCTACTCCGAGGTCCCCTCCTACGACGCGCTGCTGGAGGCTGCGCTGGAGGTCCCCCTCTCCGACCTCCACAAACGCTGCCACTTCCAGCCGGGCATCCCGGTCGAGCCCATGCTCGCCAAGCCGACCAAGTCCATCCAGGAGGTCCTCAAGCGGCTGGACGGCCAGGAATTCACCTGCGAGTACAAGTACGACGGGGAGCGGGCGCAGATCCACAAAACCAGCGACGGGAGCCTCAAGGTCTTTTCGCGGAACCTSCTGGAAACCTCCTCCAAGTACCCGGAGGTCCCCCTCTTTGTCCAGGAGGCCGCCGCCGCGGCGGCGGCGAACCGCAAGGAAGCCGGCGAAGGCCAAGGCAAAGAAGCGGTCGATTCCTTTGTCCTCGACGCCGAGGTGGTGGCCTACGACCACGAGAAGGGCCAGCTGGTGCCCTTCCAGGTCCTGTCGACGCGGAAAAAGACGGTAGACGAGGGGGAGACCTCCAAGGTTCAGGTCATCGTCCAGGCCTTTGACCTCATGTACCTGAACGGAAAGTCCCTCCTTGGCAAGACCCTGAAGGAGCGGCGGGAGCTCCTCAAGACGCACTTTGCCCCCGTGGAGGGCAGGTTCCAGTTCGCCAAGTACCTGGACGCCAGGGAGGACGGCGACACGACGGTCCTGGAGCAGTTCCTGGACGCCGCCGTCAAGGGCCAGTGCGAGGGACTCATGGTCAAGACCATGGTGGACATCTACGAGCCCTCCCGGAGGAGCCTGAACTGGCTCAAGCTCAAGAAGGACTACCTGGACGGGGTGGGGGACAGCTTCGACCTGGTCCCCCTGGGGGCCTACTACGGCCGCGGGAAGCGCACCGGGGTMTACGGGGCCTACCTGCTGGCCTGCTACGATCCCGACACGGAGGAGTTCCAGAGCGTCTGCAAGATCGGGACGGGCTTTTCCGACGAGGATCTGCAGTCCCTGTCCAAGGCCCTGGGCGAGCACGAGCTGGAGGGGGGCAAGTCCTCCCAGTACGTCGTCTCGGAAAGCCTCGAGCCGGACGTCTGGTTCGACGCGGTCCAGGTCTGGGAGGTCAAGGCCGCGGATTTGTCCAAGTCGTCCACCCACAAGGGGGCCCTGGGAAAGCTGGAGGAGGGCCGCGGGATCGGCCTGCGGTTTCCCCGGTTCGAGCGCGTCCGGGACGACAAGCGGCCGGACCAGGCCACCAGCAGCGACCAGGTCTTGGACATGTACTACAACCAGGACTCGGTCAAGGGGCAGCTGGGCGGAGACGGCTACGACGACGGGTACGACGGGATCTGATCGGCCGGTGCGGAACAATCCGAAGCAAAGCCGCTGTCTAGCAGCTGGCTAGTATTGGTAGTGCTACTACTGAGTGGTACCACTATTGGCGGATACTATGACTAAGGCCTAGTAGTGCGATCGTATAACGTGCAGTGAAAGTAGTAGTGTCAAACGATTCCATAGTTTACCCGGTCATTTCATGATGCAAGCATCGTGTTTCTTTATACCTTTTTTTGGTTCCAAACATGCAATGCTTTCCGATTGATAATTTACAAAAATATATCACAAAGACAAAAGACTAGTCCACGATGAACATTTCACTCGCAAGTCGTTGATTCGAACCTTGCATTTGCACMGTAGTAAATGGCAGATTGAAAAAGCTATTGCGTCAGAGCCTCGTTTTTCTCTCGTCGCAGGAGGTTTCTAGTAGATGTGAGGCATTCTTTATCTATCTGTCTCTTCGTTGGCAATTTTTTCGATGCAAAAAATAACGGCACAAAAATCACAGCGCAAAACAAACGAATGCACACTGGCTTGGTGTGGGTTCGAATCACTCGATTTGGTTCGTGGGTGTGGTTCTAATTACTGAACCAATTTACACAGTTTCGTTACAACTAGTTTACTTTACTTTACTTTACTTTACTTTACTTTACTTCACTATAGTCTACTGTAGTTGTACTTTGTTGTTTTGTTTGTTTCGTTTCGTTTCATGGCTTCGTTGCGAACGACGAGTAGTCCCCCGCTTTGCCCGCAATCAGCGACACGTGCCCCAGGCCTTCGTACACCAAGAGTTCCGATCGCTCGCAAAAGACGRATTCGTGGAGATGTCTTGCGTGGGAGGCCGGAACGTTGGCGTCCACCGCGCCCTGGAAGATCCCCRCCGACGGGAGGCTGCTGCTGCTGCTGTCGTCGCAACCTCCGTAGAACCCCTTGAGGACCTCCTCGTGGGGGTGGAAGGGYTGCAGGACGATGGACTGGTCGTCGTAGATCCCGGGGTATCCCCCCCGGGCCGCCATGTCCCCCAGGGCCACCAGGTAGGGCCCGAGGTTCCCCGGTTCGGACAGCCACTCCCGGTCCGACGCCGGCAGGCCCGAAGTAGCGTACGAGTTCGCCGCCGCCRCCCACCCCACCGGCACCCACGGGAGGAGGTACCGGAAGAGGCCCCCCGCCAGGACCGCGTTGGTCCGCAGGAAGAGGCGGCTCCAGAACGAAAAAGGCGCGGCCTCCACCAGCGGGACGATCGACCCCAGCCCGGTCTCGATCCCCTCCGTTCCGGCCGCGAGGCAGATGGCCCCGACCAGGGAGACGTTCCGGAGGTGGGGCTGGGGAATGTTGCTGTTGTTGTTGTTGTTGTTGTTGTTGTTGTTGTTGTTGTTGCTGTTGGTGTTGCTGTTGCTGTTGTTGTTGTTGTTGTTGTTGTTGTTGTTGTTGTTGTTGTTGTTGTTGTTGTTGCTGTTGCTGCCTGCGGGTTTGCCACGGGTCCGCTCGAGGTAGGAGGCCAGAAGGGCAAGGGCGTACGGGCCGCCCCCGCTCACACCAATCACCGAAAAGTCCTCCCAGCCCCGGTCKGYGACCAGCTCCCAGACGCTGTCCACGAGCGCACAGAGGTTGCTCCCCCCCTCGCCGTCCGGGTGCCGGGACACGTACGGGCTCGAGGTCCTGCCCATGCCGGGCCGGTCGATCGCAAAGAGCTCCCCCCCGGCAAGGGCCACGGATCGGGCGCAGTGGACGCCCCCYTCGGCCCCGCAGCCGGGGAAGCCGTGGAAATASAGCACCGGGTGGGGCCGCTCGGGGGGAGTTGTTCTTGCTTYGGTTGCGGCTGTCGGATCATCGATGCCCGTTCCACAAGCGTTTTCGGCCTTTGCCCCCGGGAACGTGTGGTAGGCGAGGATTCTGCCGTCCTTGAGTCTCAGCGAATGCTCAATGGATTCCATTGCGGCGAACAACAGGATGTTTGGTTGTATTGGTTGTATTGGTTGTATTGGTGGGTTTGAAGTTTGAATCGGTTTGTGCTTAGATGTTGAAGAATGCGGTCGGAGGAAGAATGGTAATTCGCCGTCGGCCGGGGAGAAATTATGAAGAAATCAATCAATCATACCGTCGGTACTCGTACCGCAAGGTATCGTACTGTACATTACAGTAACGTAAGATACTCGTACTCGTACTCGTAAAAGTACGACGATGTTGCGGTTCGCGGTTTGTATCGTAGCATACTTACTGTAAGGTACGTACCCTACTACATGAATGCTGCACGGGCAATGGTTAGCGCAAGTTCGGCACGTTGGGCCTTTCTTCAGTCGTGCCCCATTGGATTCAATTCAAAACTGGTCACGAGGTCATCGCCAATCATGGAAGTCGAAACATAAAAAAAAGACTAAAACAGTTTTGACTGTGAAATGTTGATAGGCTCCTTATGTGGCTGATGATGGTTGACGAGCGGAGGTAAGTCCTTTTGTTGCTCATAACCTGTGAAATGTTGATAGGCTCCTTAGTGTAGGATAATACGTGGTTTACAATAAAGAGTGAGGATTATTCACTAGCTACTCGTGAATGCGGTATGGGGATTACCTCACATTGACTGTAATTGGTTCGCAAAGCAAAGGGGGGGGGGGTCTGGGGGGGTTGAATTTTGAAGAAACTTTCCAATAGGATGATTTTAGTTGTAGAGCCAGTAGGGCTTTGAACTTGCACTATAAGAAACATGGTAAAACAATAAAGTTACGGGAATGAGATGCAAGCATATATAACTCATTGCTGGTGGCGGCGTGCGATGTAACAAATAACAAATAGAGGAACAGAGATCGTTCGAACCATGGTCGGAAATCACCATAAAAATGCTAACAAAAAGCACAGAGTGATGAAATCGGGCTTTCATAGTGGTACGTACAAGCATCCATGCTTCACACGGTATGCACAGTACAAAATTACAATTACTACTAGTATTACTATTTCTGATACTACTTCTGTTTTTCACATAGTAGTACTACTACTAATATTTCAGTTTATTAGCTAGAGCTAGAACCTCAGCTACAGTCTAAGCAGCTAGTACAGTCTCAGCAGCTACAGTCTCAGCAGCTAGTACAGTCTCAGCAGCTACTACAGTCTCAGCAGCTACTACAGCCTCAGCAACAGTCACTGCAACAGCATGACACTACTTGTATTGTTATTGTTAATGTTACTACTAGTAGTGTTATAGTAGCTAAAGCTACTACAGCTAGCACTACAGCTAGAGCTTGAGCTTAGTAGTAAGCTATATTTATGACTAGAGTAGGACTGGAGCTAGTGTTACTACTACCAATCAACAGTCACCAAACATACACAGCACTCATCAATCAACAATCACCATTACATACTCATATAGAGCTAGAGATGGAGCTGGAGCTGGAGCTGGAGCTGGAGCTGGAGCTGGAGCTGGAGCTGGAGCTGGAACTGGAACTGGAACTGGAACTGGAACTGGA